GGGGGGGGGGCAGGGTCCCGAGGGTCTGCCAGCTGGGCCACAGGGCCTAGGGCCTGAGGACCCAGGAGGTGGGCCTCTGCCTCTGCAGGCCCAGGAGGGCCAGAGGAGCAGTGCTCCGAGGCGGGAGCCCCTAGAGTGATCCCTGTGGCCCAGGGGTCTGCCCAACACGGGGTCGCGGGGAGGAGGCCCGCCTGGCGGGGCTGGAGGGCCTTGGGCTGTGGCGCGTGGGCCGGGCACGGCTGGGGGAGGGTGCTCAGAGAGGCCGTGGTGTGGGGGGTGCGTGTGTGCATAGGTAGCCGAGGTCTGTGCGCCTCCTGGGCCCCTCCTGGCCCGTCCCAGTCGCCCCCCACCCCGCCCCGTCCCCCCACCGACCATTAGGCTTCCGGTTCTCGCACAGACCGCAGCCACAGCCACCCCTGACCAGGAGACCTGCATTCCTCCTCCCAGCGCCCCAGGGCCTGGCTGAGGCCAGACGGCGAGGCGGCCGGAAAAGCCGGTTCCGTGGGGCTGCCTGACCCCAGAGGCCTGTGCCGACAGGTGGATCCTGGGGGCCAGGAATGTGGAGGTGGGGAGGCCCAGGCCACCGTGAGCTGGGAGGCTGGCCTGGGCTGAGCCCAGGGGACTGAGGATGTCTCCCCCACTCTTGGCGCCTCCCCACCAATTCCCAGGGACCGAGGGTGACGACGTCTATGCTGGGCCCGCCGGCCGCTGGCAGGACGGTTCTGAGAGACTCCCTGACCCTGGAGCGGGGGAGGGCGGTGCAGGGGTTGTGCGGCGGGGAGGCCGGGAGCCCAGGAGCCGAGGAGTGGTCTCCCCTGTGTCTGGGAGGGGCTAGCGGCTGCTCCGGCAGAGCAGGAAACAACCGGCCTGTCAGATTCGTAGTTCCCATCCCGCATACGCGCTGGCTCAGCGCTGGGAGGAGGGAAACCCCGCCAAGGCCAGGGTCGCAGCTACCTCCGCACAGGAGCGCCCTCAGCGCAGCGTCCAGTGTCCTGCTCAGCTGCCCCACTGCCCCCTCTGGGGCGCCCCACCCCAAGGCCCCCCAGGCCCGCCCCAGCCCTGTCCCAGCTGGGAAGGCCCTGAGCCGCCTGGGCTCAAACCTCCTGGGAACGTAGGGCTTTGTCTTACACTTTCTGTTTTTTAAATAAATTATAATTTTTAACGAAATAAGGTAGTGTAAAAGCTGCTCGTTAGAGAAAGAGTGAAAATACAGAAAGTCACCTCCATCCGGGAGAGCTGGAGAAAGGCGCGTGGGGATGGAGGGAGGGAGGGAGGGAGCGTGGGGATGGAGGGAGGGTGGAGGCCGGGGGCTGGCTGTCGTCCAGGAGCCCAGCCTCTTTGAGCTCAGCACAGCACGGGAGAGCTCTCGAGCAGTGCGCCCAGCGCCGCGGTGAGGACCCGGCTCCACGCGGGCAGGGTCAGCTGCTGAAAGGCCCAAGTCCTGGAAGCCCCAGACACGGGGCCCACCTGGGCCACGGTGAGGATAGGCGGGGACAGGAGGGGTCAGGCGAGGACAGGCGGGGACAGGAGGGGTCAGCTGGGACTGGCTGGCAGTGGCGTGGGTGTGGATGCTGGGCTGCAGCCCCAGGGGGGCACGGCCTGCACGGTGGGATGTCCCCCACGCCAGCCTGTGTGTGATGCGTGGACCAGGGTGACGTGGACCGTCACCTCACAATACGGATCCCCTCTTTAAGTGTGGCTGTGATTCAGTCTATGAAATAATCGCATCATCTTTCTACATAAGAGCCTTCTTTATGGTGCCGCCATGAAATATTCAGTTCTGAGTTGTGCTGACCCAGCCGACACGCCGATGCGGGTGAGTGAGCCGCAGGACAGCCCTTCCCAGGTGCCAGGAGGATGCTGCGGCTGGGACAGGAGTGCTCAGGGAGTTGCGTAGGCAAGTCCCACCCTGGCACCGGGACCCTCCCCGTAGGCCGCACCCTCCGATCGGGAGCTCCTGGGTCCACATCCACCGGGCAGGCTGTGACCTTGAGCAGGAGATGGCCAGGAAGGGGGTGGGTCTTGGATTTCCAGGGGATGCCTTTGGTGAAGGGAAAGTGAAGGCCAGGATGGGTCGCCCCGGGAGCCACTGAAAGGGCCCCTGTGCCCACGTCACCCTGGACCTGGAGTCCCTCCCTGCCCCTCTCCCCTGCCCAAGCCCCCTTCCTCCGCACCTCCTCCGGCCCCTCCCCAGACAATGGCTGGGAGGCAGAGTGGGCCCTCATGCATGTGCTCTCGGCTGTCCCCCAACCAGAACCAGGTGTGGGACCTCCCCGCCTCCGCCCTTACCAGGCCAAAGGGCTCCCCCTGTCCCGGCCCCTCCTGGGCCTGTTCCTTCCCGGCTGTGCCCTCCAGTTCTGCGACTCGGCTTTCTCCGAGGCCACAGCTGTGGAAGCCACCAGACGGCATGTTACCAGACGTGTGTGAGTGTGAGCACGTGTGTGCACGTGTATGTTTGAGTGTACGGCGTGTGTGTGGCATACGTGTGGGCATGCATGTGTGCACGTGGGCATTAAGACTGCAGGTGAGTCTGTGGAGAGACCCCCGGGTCCTGGGAGGCCCTGGGTTTCGGAGACCAAGAACTGAGTCTGGGGGCCAGGAGGTCCAAGAGGCTCAGGCAGGGCTGGTCCTGAAGCAGACGAGGGGACCCCGGGCAAACACCATCCCCTGAGAGTGAGCCGCGGGCTCGGGTGATGGCCCCCCTCGCCTGCCTGCCAGCCCCGCCCAACAGGGCAGGCAGAGTGCCTCGTGGTGCCTCAGAAGGAACGCTCTCGAGGGAGAGTGTCCGGAGGGAAGCTACCCTTGCCGGCGGAGGGCTGGACTCACGTGCGACTCCAGGCTATGTGTGGGGTGGCGGGAAGGAGGGAGAGAGGCAGCCCCTCCTGGCGCTTGTGTTGGGGGGACGTTGTTGGGATGCTCAGCTGGACAGGAGGAGTTCTGGGAGAGGAGGGGAGGGAGGAGGGCCCACCTTGGGAGAATGGGGGGCCGACCTCGCCCCGGGTGTGCTTGGGGTGAGGGGACCCCATGGACTGCGGGGTCAAGGCCTGGGGGGCATGGTGAGCTGCAGCCATTGACGGAAAACCGTGAGCCCCATGTGGGGGGCAGCGGGGAGGAGGCTGCAGGCCTCCAGATCCTCCTGGCACAGACACGTGCTGTACCTGGCGGGAGGGGGGAAGGGGAGGGGTGCTCAGAGTGGCCACCAGAGCCTCCTGGTCACCCATCAGAGCACAGCCAAAAGTGCCAACTGGCCTCCAGTCCCGGAGGGAGGCTCCCAGGATGGGCCAGCCCAGCCTGGGGCCCTGTGCAGTCAGCTGGGCACCCAGCAGGCTGGCCCTGCAGTCTCTCTGGGGGGTCCGCACCGCCATGGAGGGGCATGGGGGCCCTCTTCTGGCCGCACTGCAGAAGACATGGCCTCCGCCAAGCACGCAGCCCTGTCTGGCACCCAGGCCGCCCCAGGCCGGCCCGCGTCCCTCACCTTCCCCAGCGGGCCCTCTACCAGCTCCCTGGCCTCCTTGGGCCTGGCTTCCAGGACAGAGGGCTGACCCTCCATCCGCAGGGAGCTGGCTCCAGCCCTGTGGGGTCTCAGCGTTTCCAGCACCCCTAGGACTGGGCCCCCAGCGCTCACGGCCCACCTGGGGCTCAGGGCCAGAGGGATCCTGGGGAGGAGGCGAAGGCTGGAGTGCCGGGCTCCGCTTGGACACTTCAGGCAGCCGAACCTGGGCCAGGTAAGGACCAACGGCCTCCTGTCTCGGTTTCCCCCTTCAGAGCCCCAGGTGTGCGGAAGACTCCAGACGTGTGAAGCCCCTGCAAACTGCACAGCCACGTGAGTCCCTGCTGTCTCACTGGGCCCCTTTGGGGACAATTCAAGCCAGACCGGCCTCCAGCCCTGCCGGGGACTTCCAGGGCATGGTCTCGGGCTGGGCGGCGGGGGCGGGGCGGGGGGGGCCCCGGAACGCGACTCGTGCCCCCTGGCGGTGTGCCTTTAAGTCCGCAGTGAAGCATCATCACGGGCCGGCGATGCCACCTGCTGACGCTTCTCAGCATCCTGACCGGAGCGGCCGCAGCTGCTGCGGTGGGTGCGGTCGGTCGGGGAGGGGCGAGGGGCCCAGGCAGGGCTTACAAAGCCGGCAGATGCAGACACAGTCACTCCCGCCTAGAGGAAGGGTTTAAAAACTGAATAGCGTCCACCTACCTAACAGACATTCGCTAATCAAGGCAAGGGAGGCAGCGCACAGTAGGTGGATTTCAAGGGCAAGGGCTTTTCTTCTGGGTCTGAGCATGCAGAGTTGAAGTAGAAGCCCTTCAGGTGGAGGAGGCTCGGGCAAGGACCAGGGCGGGCCGGCAGGAGACTGGGGGCCAGGACAGCAGGCGGGGGGCTCAGCCCCGCTGCTCTTCAAACCTAGACTTCCACTCTTTTATAGATGGATTTTGGGGGTTTTTTGGCCTTGCCGCGGCTGTCAGAATCTTAGTTCCCCGACCAGGGATCGAACCCAGGCCCTCGGTATTAAGGGCACGGGAGTCCTAACCACTGGACCACGGGGGAATTCCCAACAGGCTTTCCACTCTTTTGAAGTCCATACTCCACGTCTACTTATAAGTCTAAAAACTGTCACAGGGTCTTTGAATAACTGTTCCCACTTACAAACGTCCAACATTTTAAACTGCATTTATTAGTTTAATATATTTGGTTCCTTAAGTAGTTCGTTGTGTGGATTAACAAACACAACTTTGGTAACTGATGTATAACGTCTAGAAACCTAATACATTTGTTAAAAAATAATTTTCAGTAAAAGGTAAGATTGTGACTCACAGATATAAAAATGAGCTCACGTGAAAGATGTTATTTACTTATTAATCAAGGGAGAACCAGGCAGATGTTCTAAGCAACTCCAGAGAGAAGCTGCAGGACAGACGTACTGAAAGGTCACTGATGTTGAAACCAACAGAGGAAAACCTGGTTTCTGCGCAGGGGTCGGGGAGGGGAGATGGAATTTCGCATCTACCCCCTTGGCGGAGCTGAGCTGACTGAAAGTCAGCTCAGACGCCCTCTACACGATGCAGAATTTTCCACTGAAACATAATTTTTCGGTCTAGATTACAAGTGTGAACACTGACCTTCAGCCTCACTTAGTATTCCTGCAGCATCGTCAGCGTCTATCTGGGAGGATTTGTCTGTTACACACTTGCAGACGCGAGGAAGCTGGCGTTCGGCCCACGTTCTCTGACACGTCACAGAAAAGACCAAATGTGCACAAGTACATTTGCGATACTCACAGTAACCTAGGATAGACTGTGACGTCCTGCCTGTTTGTGCCTGAATCCCAGCTGATCCTGGGCAGGACGGGTGTCTCCCACTGGAATGGTCCTTGGGCCAGGTGGGCCGAGCCCTTGGTCCCCAGACACCCTGACCACGAGTGGTGGGATGTCGAGGGCCTGATGGGGAGGAGTGGGGCCCGCAGGGCTGGACAGAGGGGCGCAGGTCGGAATCGACCGAGACTGGGGGTTGGTTAGAGGCGGTTCTTTCAATGCAGGGGCGGGGCCTCGATCAGGGCTGGGGAAGGATCTGGGTGCCTCAGTGTGGCGGACGGGACAAGGTGAGGGCTCGGAGGTGAGAGATTCGCAGGAGCTGAGGCACTGATGGTCAGTGTTTCCTGCTGCAGGGCCCATGGTCTCTGGAAGTCCCTGTCACCAGTAGCCGAGCTTCCTGCCGGGCAGAGGCTCCGGGAGACGTGCCGTCCTGCTGATGAAGACGGTGGCCCCAAAGGCGTGTCTGGGATGGTGAGGGCTGCCCGGTGCCCAGGGTCCAGGCTGCACCTGCAGAGAGTCTGGGGCAGGTCCCGCAGGGCGCGGGTGGAACTGGGGGACAGGCCTGCCTGAGGGCCCTCGTCTCTCCATCCCCGCGCAGAGCTTACTCTCCTGTGGAAGGGTGTCTTGGGCCTGCCCCAGTGCTGACACACGCAGACGGGCAGCCTTCGATGAGACCCGGCCCCTGAGTACGAGCTCACCGAGGGGCAGAACCCTGGCTGGGCTCCCACCCCAGCCTCCCTGCTCCCGGGTGTCCAGCAGGAGGCCTTGATGTGGACAGAATCAACCGCTGGGCTGAAGGTAGTCATTTTCAACCCTGGGCTGGAGCCCAGTGAGCCGCCGATGACAGGGTCTTCGGGGTGAGTCACATTCAGACGTCAAGTGTGACCTAAAAATATGACGCCTGCAATTACCGCACCGCAGCAGGGGGAGGGAGGCCTTCCAGACGAGGACGCGAGCCCAGCCCCGGGGGGCCCTGGTGGCCCATCTATTATTAGAAGAGCTAAAACCTCCTCGAACCCACACAGTACAAAGACCGGCTCCGTCCACCCCGAGTGCGGCGGCCACATTGACCTCAGTCCAGGGGCCGCCCACTGCCCACCGGACAGAGTCAGTGCGGTGGGTCCAGTCCTGCCCATTTCCCGGGAACTGCGCCCCGATGTGGGCTGGCGCTGGGGCACGGGTGGGGAAAGAGCAGCGGCCAGGGCACGTTCCCGAGGGAGTCCTGCTGACGGAGTCCCTGCTGAGAGAACCCCTGGGGAAGGCCCAGCCGGCCCCACCCCTCCTGTGACAGTGAGTCCCCAGCAGGGCTGGTGGCACCCTGCGACAGCTGGAGAAGGCAGCCTGGGTGGGGTAGCCAGACCCTGCCCCCAGGCTGCTCCAGGGGGTCAGGGGTGCAGCCCGAGAGGAGGGGCCCGGTCCCGCCCACCCGCTGCAGCGCCCGCCACCGCCGGCAGAGGGCGCCCCGCATACCGCACTCCGCGCCCCACTGCGACCCCTGAGCTCCATCGTGACCACCCCCTCCTCACAATGCTCACAGCTCGATCTTTGCTCCAAACACTCTGGCTACAATGCCGCAGGGGCTGCTGCAGGACACGTGGCAGCTTAAAGAGGAAAATGAGTGTCCGACCCAGAGGGTCTCTCCTCCCTGACGCTCTCCTAAGAGGGCAGCTTTCCTGCCTGTCTCCCCACGTCACTCAAGCTACACCCTGTTTCACTCGCCCCGCCCCGTCGCTGAGCGCTTAGGCCCCTGCCAGCTCTCTTCACGAGGACGAGGACGCTGCGGTGACAGTGCGCCGGCGGTGTGGGAGCCGCCATTGTCTTCGTCTCTGCCATCGTCATGCCGCTCCCTGCCTGCCCCCCCCCCCGCCCACGTCGAGTCTGGACCCTCAGCTGCGGGTCTGAGGGCTGCAGTCCGTGTCAGACAGCGCGGGGCTTGTCCTCCCTGACCTCACGTGACTGGGCTCCCAGCTCTGACCTCGGAGGGCTTGACCACAGGGCGGGCAGCACAGGAGGGGCCGTGGGGATGGTCACCCTGTTACCTCTGCCCCCCGCAGTGCTCCCCAAGCAACTGTGACCCCAGACAGGCCCCCCCTGTAAAGCCACGGGGGCTCCAAGTGTCTCCCAGGCTGACCGTCTGCTGTTCGTGACCAGCATGAACTTATGGTCTTACAGTCTTGGGGTCAGAGTCTGACGTGGGTATCCCTGGGCTAAATCCAGGTGAGGGCCGGGCTGCTCCCCTCCAGAGGCTCCGGGGAGAATCCATTTCCCCTCCTTTTCCAGCTTCTAGAGGTGCCTGCAGCCCTCAGCTCGTGGCCCCTCCTCTACCTCAGGCCGCCAGTTGCCTTCTCTGATCCTCTGGCCCTCCTGCCTCCCTCCTCCCCTGTGAGGACCCTTGAGATTACGCTGGGCCCACCTGGACGGTGCAGGACGATCTCCCCATCTTGAAATCAGCCAACTGTCAACCTTCATTCCAGCTACAGCCTTGACGCCCTTCTGCCATGTGAGCAACAAAGACCCAGGCCCCGGGTCCCTTATTTTCCCACCACGTGTGGTCTCTTCTCCGGGCCCCAGGCCCTGTGCCTGGAGTCGAGGCTTGGAGTGGACAACCTGTGCCGCACTCAGGCCATCATTGGGGTGACCAGCACCACCGGGGTGCCCGGCCATGGAGGGACCAGTCGCTGGGAGCACAGGCTTGGGGCTAAACCTGCTTGTCAGGTGAGCTGGGTCTTCCAGGGGCTGCAGCCTAACCCTAACCCCACTCAGCTGCCTCTGCTGCCCCTCCTTCCAAGGCATCAGCAAGGGCTGCCCACCCTGGAGTTCCGGCACCCTCAGGGGGGCCCCCTCCGGGGTGGGGGCCCCCTCCCCTTCCAGGCCCCTCCTCCTCCCAGGTCCCCTCCACTCCCCAGACCTCCTCCTCCTCCCAGGTCCCCTCCCCTCCCAGGTCCCCTCCAGTCCCCAGGCCCCTCCTCCTCCCAGGGCCCCTCCACCCCCTCCACCACACAGGGGCAGGGCGTTTCCTGGGGAGGGAGGGCTGCACAGCACAGAGAGGGCAAGGCGCCACATCTCAGAGGCCTCAGCTCAGTGGTTTGGGCCCCAGTGTATGTCTGGCGCCAGTTCACAGGCTTCAGCAGATGCCTCTTGAGCAATGGTGAGGGACTCCTCTTTGCTCTGCGGGTCAGGAAAGCCATCAGGATTCAGGGTCTCCCAAAAGTGGAGCTGCCCCAGGACACTGCCGCAGCCACCCAGCGGCCTGGGAGGAGGAGGGGCGGGCCATGGGGCAGGGTGACAGCAGCCAGGATGGGCCTGCAGCAGGGCCCAAGTTGGGGGCGGGGTCTCTCCGGGCCTGTCCCAGCCATGCTGGCGAGCAGAGAAGTGGACAGGGCGAGCACAGCGATTCCCGGGGCGTCCTGAGCCCCCGACCTGGGGCAGCTGCAGGCAGGTGGGCATCAGGCGACTGTCACACGGGTAACCTGTCTGGGCACCGGTCCAGCCTGCAGGCAGGTCTGTTCGGTCCTAGACGGCCGAGCCTGCCCACGCCCTTGGAACCTGGGGGCCACCGAGGACTGGACTCTGGGCCACCCTCACCGGCACCGGCCAAGCCCCTGCCCTACCCCTCCCGCTCCAAAAACCCATGTGTCTCCTCTGCCCCCCACCCCAGCGCTCCCCATCTCAGTCCTCCCTCCTCCCTGGAGCCCTCTCCCACCCTTCCCCCCCCTCCCCCCGCAAGGCCCCCCAGGCCTCTCTCTCCGGCGGGCCCCGATGCCCCGCCCCTCCCAGGGCGTGAACTGCTCTGCTCCGGGTCCCCTGCCCCAGCCTGGATGCTCACGTGCGTGTGCTCGAGATACTAGGCTGATGAGTGAATAAACGGGGGGCCTGGGCATTGCCCACCTGAGTAGGACCTGGCTGGCTGGCTCCCGGGCCCTGCCCTGGCATTGCATGTGGGTCCCCGGGACTCAGGGAGGACGAAGCTCTGGGGGCACTGGGTCGGGGAGTGGGGTGCCGGCTGCCGGGCTGCCGGTGCCAGGTCTCCAGGTTGGGGTGGGCCTTTCGCTTCAGACCTCTTAGAGTCGCTGTCTCCCGCTGTGGAAGGGAACCTCGTGGGGGGTCCCGGGAGCAGAGGCTTGGGGTCCACCCAGGAGTGTTGGCCGCAGTGACGCAAGTCTGCACCTTCCAGATCTGGAATGCAAGCTGTCCTCCTCACGGCGTTGCTGGGTTCCCCTGGGACGGGGTCTGCAGCTGGGGGGGGGGGGCGCCGGCGAGCACCCCGCTGGAGCAGCCTGCCCTGCCACCAGCTCCTGCCTGCCCTGCCGAGCTCGCTGCCTTTGCGGGCGCCTCCTTCTTCCGAGGGTAAATCAGGTTACCCACAGCTTTTCCTCGAGGAATAAGGAGGCAGCCTTTGAAACCAGGACAGATGGCAGCCCTTCTCCAGGGGGAGCTGGCTCATTAATCGTTTCTAAATTAGTCAGAGGGATGGTGGGACTTCACGGGCTCTGGGAACCCACGGAGCCACCTTCCCAGCCCCAGCGGGGGGGCTGCAGCTTCTGCTCTGGCCCAGCCGCCTGGTCTCATGCTTCCTTCCTTCTCTCCCTCCCCTGCCCCTCCCCATTCTCTCCCCAGACCTAAGCAGCTTCTAGAAATGTCTGGGAGAGAAGAGCCTGCCTGCAGGGGGCTGTGGGAAAGGACAGTGGGCCAGGGGGCATCAGGCTGGTCCAGGGCTGGGCCCTGAGTGCCCCAGCTGGGACGCAGTGGGGACAGTGGCTCGGGGCTGCTCCAGGCCCCCTCTCGAAGGGCAGGGGTGGGAGGGGCAGGCACAGCTGCAGTGGACACAGGCCAGGCGGGGCAGAGGGGCCAGCCAGGACCAGGGCAGGGCCGGGAGGCCGGTGGGCCGACGGCCAGGCAGGGCCAGGGCTGGCAGGGCACCTCAGAGCTGACATAGGCGCTCAGGTGCCCAGCGCACGTGGTGGAGGCTTGAGTCTGGGGGCGGCCGGGACTAGGCCCGAGACGTGGGCTGGGGGTCTGTTCGGGCTCCAGCTGCAGGGGCAGAGCTCCCGGCACTGTGATGGTGGGTCTGGGGCCTCTGATCCTGTCTCCTCAGACGTTGTTGCTGATGGTGGCCACTCCCTCAGCTCCTCCCGGCTGTACCAGCATTGGGGAACCTCCACCGGCCTGCTGGACACAGAGCCCGGGACGCCTGCACCCTGGGGCCTGGGGTCCAGGCCAGCTCGCCATTCAGGGACTTGGGGAGGACTTGCCTCTCCGGCTGCTGTTTCCTCTCCTGTAAACCAGGCCGTGGACCCCTTCAGCCTGTGCACCAAGGGGCTGGTGAGAGCCAGTGCAAAGACCCAGGCCGACTCTGCTCAGGGGCTCCCTTCCCTGTGCCCCCGACAGAGACCCCTCCCCACTCCCCCGACTTGTGTCCTCGGGCTCTCTCTCCTCTTTTGGACTCTACGATCCCTGAGGGCATGGTCCTCCTCCGCCCCCAGTACAGCCGGGATGGAAAATGAGCTCTCACCCTGTCTGCAAACCTGACTGACACAGAGGAGAGGAAGCTGTCCTGACAGAGGGTCACCAGCCCACCTCTGTCCCCAGGAGGGAGGCAGGGCCCCCTCTGCTGAGCTTCCCGCCCCACTGACCTCCTCACTGTTCAGTCTCCCTGCATCTCTGGGGCCCATATCACAGATAGGTAAGTGGGGCTGAGGGCGGAGTCACTCACGGAGGCCACCCAGCCTCAGACAGCGTCTCGGGGGTCAAACCAGGCAGTCTGGGGCCTTGACCCCGAGGCTGCCTGAACCCACACCCCACCCCCGTCCGGGGCCAGCAGCCAGAGCACCCCTACGCTCCCATCACAGGCCCCACAGGCTTGTGGGATGGAGGCGAGCCCAGCAGACACTCTCGCTGGATGCCCACCTGGCCCCCAGGGCCAGCACCTGGAGAGGACAGGCCTGGCAGCCCCCCTCTGGATGAGGGGAGCCTGCGGTGGAGGCCGCCCGGCCCCGCCCACACTCCCTGGAAGGGCCGCCCGGCCCCGCCCACACTCCCTGGAAGGGCTGCCCGGCCCCGCCCACACTCCCTGGAAGGGCTGCCCGGCGCACTGGGCCAGAGCCGCATGTTTTCCGGCTTTGATGAAAACCAGCTTGTTCTGTCCAAGCCTGGACCCGGCCCAGGCTTCCAGAAGGGGCCGAGCCAGCCCGAGTCTCACACTTGGCTCGGGGAAGGCCCGTTCTCTCCAAGCATTCCTGAGCCTCCGCTCCGCCCGCCTGCTCTGCCCGCAGGTGTGCGGGCCCGGCTGGCCCAGCAGATGCAGCTCTTGGTGAAAGCTGACCCCAGGGCAGGTGTGGGTCTGGGCTGGGATGAAGGGAAACTGAGGCCCCAGGGGTGGTCACCTCCCCTGGTGGTCAGGCTGGCCCCTGAGTCTCAGATCTGTGTGCCTCACTGCTTCAGACAAGCCTATGGCGGGGCCTGGGGCCTGGGGTTCATGGGGCTGTCTCCCCCAGAGAGCAGGGGGGCTGGGATGGGACAGGGAGTAGTTTGTGGTGGGCGAGGGTACCCCTCCTCCAGGGCACCAGACCTCTCGGAGGCCGCTCGTTCTTCTCTGGGAGCAGCACTCAGCGCTGGCCCGAGGCTGGGAACGGCAGTGCCAGGCCTGGCTCCCAGCAAGCGCAGCTGGTTCTCTTCTCTGGCTGGAGTCCATGGCGTCGCCTGCTGTGACTGGGGAGCCTCCAGGACGCCCTGCAGGCCGAGCAGCCACACCCAAGCCAGACGGGAGGAGGAAGCCGAGACTCAGGCTGGGGACGCAGCCGCTCGCGGCTGGAGCTCGGCTCCGTACTGACGTTTCAGAGCCTCAGCCCTTCACCTGCGAGGTGGCGCCCACAGCCTGGTGCCTCCAGGTCAACCACGGGATGGTGGGGCAGCGGCCTGGCCCGGGGCCCGCCGGCCAGGTCAGAGGCGGTGAGGCCCTCGCGGCTCCCGCCGGGCCCGGAACGGCCACTTTCTGTTTTGTGAGCCGGGAGCCGGACTAGAACCCTCGCTGGCCCCGCCTGGGCCTCGTCTCCAAGTCCCTCTTGGAGTCACACAAGGATCTAGCCAAGAGCTCCAGGACCCAGCGCTAAAGGGCTAGGGGACCCCGCGTGTAGCCCCACATGGCGTGAAACGTGTGAAGGAGGTCAAAGGCCCGCTCTTTGCCGGACAGACTACGTGGATGCATTTTGGAAATGACAAATATCAAATCCTTCCAGAAACGGTCGCCGGAGGTCCGCCCCGCCGATGCCCAAGGCGTGCCGATGCGCAACCCCGAGCGCCCGCCTGAACCGCGGGGGGAAGCCGTGGCTGTGAGCCGAAGGACAGGCCGCACCAGGCTCCTCTCTGGGAAGCCCCTGCTGCCCCAGGCCCACGGGCTCCGGGGGCTCAGCCCCCCTCCAGGGCGGGATCTGCCCCAGGGCGGTGAGACAGCCTGTCCTAGCTTCCCCCAGTGCCAGGCTCACCCCACCCCGAGCCAGGCCTGGCTACCTGCCCACTCCATAACGGGGAAAGCTGAGGGGATCCAGGCCGCTTGGAGTGGGTTCCCCAGGAAAGAGGGTCCCTCTCGCGGGAGGGAGGGAAGGCGGCTGGGCACGCAGGAGCAACGCTCGACTCCTGACGGACCCGCCACTCTCGGGTCAAGGCCACGTGTCACCCCACACCAGGTGGTCCTGGAGATAGACCGCAGGCTCTGCTGTGTGCCCCATGTGTCTGGCTAGTCCCCGGTCCTCTGAGCACACCTGGACAGGTGGGGGCAGGGCCCGGGGCAGCGCCTGGTCTCATCTGATCAGACTCTCTTGCACCTGGGGACACAGTGGCCAGGAGGGGTCAGTCCTGCCTGAGGACGCAGGACTGCTGTGACAGCCCAGGGTGTGGGTGGAAAGAAAGACCGTCTCCATCTGGCCATCGCTGGCTGAGGTCGCGTGGAATCAGCTGCTGAGCTGGCTGCTCCTTGCAGGCAGGGACAGGGCAGGGCACATGGCAGGTGACACCCTGGGTGACAACTCGATGGGGAGGCCTGGAGATCCAGGCCCTGGGGCCATGTAGAGCACACGGTCACAAAGGCGCCCCAGCTCGTGGCCATTTGACTAAAGAAGGAACAATCTGGAAGAAAAAAGGCTGGCCCAGAGGGGAGGGTGTCTGCGGCTCAGGCCTCCTGTCTTTGGGCCCAGGGGATGCTCTGTGAAAGGGGGGCTTTTGATGATGGGGGGTCACCCGGCCAGGCCGCACACCCACACCACCATCGTACCCTGAGAGCACCTGGACCGAGCTGACCTGTGCTCTGGCCGTTCCTGCCGGCCTGGGGGCCTGGGGTTGGAAAGGCCCACAGGTTGGCACCTGTGGGGAGAGACTCTGGCCCTGCCCCCTCCCCACATCCCAGCCCTCCCCTCGGCCGCTCTCATCCCAGTGCCCCAGATCCTGCTTCTGGAAATACACTTGCAATTAAATCAAAAGGCCCAAGCGCTGCCTGGAGAGCCAAGCGGTGGTTACACAACCCTCATCCCCGTGGCTCCCAGCGGCCCAGAAAACACACGTGCCGCCCAGGCCGTGCTCTGGTCCTGGTTGCAGCCTCCCGGATGGGGCGAGCATGGGCTCCAGGAAGTGTGGGTCCAACCCAGGCACCCTCCCTGCTGGAAGGCAGGAGGAGGGCAGGGAGCTGGTGTGGCTCCGGGACCTGGTTGCCCTCTGCCCTCTGCCCTCTGCTTGCAGGTCCCTCAGGGCTTCATGTGGGAGGACACAGCCCCTTCCCCGGTCTGGCTAACAGACACAGTGTGTGCAGCACAAGGTGACCCGACAAGCGGCCGCCCGTTTCCAGGCCGAGTCTTGAGGGAGACAGTCGTGCTGAGCAGAGCAGCATTGCCTGAGGGTGGGCTCCAGGACGGGAGGGGCAGCCAGACTGTGGGCTGGATTCTCAGGGCTGGGAGAGGGGTGACAGCCCCCTGGGACGTGCCCGGAGAGGCTGGTGGCGGCTCAGGCACGGGGGCAGCCCCAGGGATCAGGGCCCCCACTGGAACAAGGCTGAGAGCTGGCCAGCCCGCAGGGTCCCCAAGTCCGGACTCGCTGGCCACCGGCCACCAGGAGGGGCTGCAGCAGGAGTGGCGGCACCAGCCTGGGGCAGGGCTCTCTGGGCCGGTGGACCCTCTGCTGCCCCTGCCCCGGGCCCGCTCCTGCCTCCTGGGCAATGGCTGGGAGTGACCGGGCCGCGTCACAGCTGAGAGGCTCTGGCAGAGCTGGTGCTGGCCGCCTGCCCTGGGCAACAGGACACTTCCGGGGCAGGAGGTGTTTACGGCCCTTTGACCAAGAGGAGCCCAGCCAGGCCCTGTTGTGTGGCCCAGGCCCAGCACCGGGCCCTCCTCCCTGCCCCGCCCCCTCCGGCCCCTTTCTTTGCTAAGTGTCCACAACATGAAAACTCAGAGGGTTCTCCTGGCATTGGCTTTCCCTTAAAAACAACGTGTGCTGCCTTTTCCAGTGAGGGAGCTGATTTGTCAGTACAGTGGAACATCTGCAAAACCAGACGTCACTCGTACATCCATAGACGAAGGGACCGTGGTGAGCACACTAGCCACGCCCTTCTAGCCTGTCCCCAGGACTCCTCTCGCCCATTCTGTGCCGGCCTTAGCAGTAGACAGGGTCCCTGTCACAGTCGTGCCCTGGCAGGGAAACCAACGTGCAGACCTGCGAGAGACCAGGCACCAACAGGGATGAACCGGGTGTGCAGGGGCCGCCGTCCAGCCGGGCTGGCTACAGGGCGGGCGGCCCAGCTGAGGACGGGACATTTAAAAACATCTGTTTGTATAAAGGAGGCAGCAGTGGGGATATCTGGGGAGAGTGTTCTGGGCAGAGGGCAAAGCAAGTACAGAGGCCCTGGGGCAGGAGATGGTTCGTGGCAGGAGCAGAAAGGGCCAGTGAGTGAAGCCCTTGAGTTGGGCAAGCCTGGGGAGGCTGGGATCCCTGCGGGCCTCAGAGGCCCAGACAGGGGGCGGGTGTTTGGGGCAGGCAGGTTGGGGAGGCGGGGGGGGGGCAGGGATGTGCAGGGGCCCGGCATGTAGAGGGTGTCCGTAGCAGGGTGCAAACCTGACATTCTGTGGTTTAACTTTCAGCAGCCCTTCCTGCCCTGGGGGGGGGAGGGGGCTGCCAAGTTTGTCTCCAGGGGAAACTGCTTATTTGTTTAGGAAGATATGTTAACGGACCTTTCATTTCTAAAAGGAAAATTCCAGGGCTTAGTCTGGACTGGAATCAAAACAGAGTCAAAGTGTCCCCCCCCAAGAAGGAGGCACTCTGGAAGTAAAGCTATTAGGTGACCCCCCCCACACAAACCTTGGCCCTGCAGCAGGGGAGGGAGAGGGAGAAGGCTGGACCACGAGGTAAGGGGTAAATCGGACCTAGTTTTCAGTTAATTTCTCTGGTGGCTGGAGAGGTTAAGTACTTTCACTTTAGACATTTGAATTATTTTATGTAAATTGTTTTATCCTAGTCTTTCCCCATTTTCCATTGGGATATTTGTCTTTTTAATTAATTTTGGAAATCCTCGTCTGTCACAAATATTTTTTCCGATTTGTCACTTGGCATTTAATTTTTCAAAGATATTTGTATATATAAAAATGTTCAAATTGTATGCCCTCAAATTTATCCATATTTTCCTTTCATGACTATTCTTTGGGTTAATACTTAGAAAGCTCTTACCAAATTTAAAACTGGTGCAGTGCCTCCGTGCGCCTTTTTAATCTATACCATGATTTTCTTCTTTATTTGCTTCTCTAATCCATCTGGAATTTATGTGGGTACTTGGCTAGGGATATAAGTTTATTTTTCTCTCCAGATAATTAACCAATTATCCTGTCAGTGTTTGTTGAACATTCACTATGTAAGAGTTCTCCTGCTTGGTCTGGTACTTTGACTAAGACTTAATAAAGGGGGTGACTCAGAGACGTGGGCAGGGTTTAAGGCAACAGAGAGGGACTGAGCCTTGCCCAGGAGTGTGGAACTGGGGGGTTCTGGACCTGAAGCTGCACAGACAGTGTCACAGGGCCCCACAGGGCAGCTGTTTGCAGAGACCCTGCAGGGTCCTGCCCCTGGGGAAGAGACACAGCCAGTCCAGAGCAAGCTGGCTGAGCCCGTCAGGAAAGAATTCCCTGGCCTCTCTCTCCTCCCACATCCCCCCTGGCAGGTGGAGGAGTTCTCAAAGGCAGAGGGAAACCTCTGCAGTCTCACCCCTCAGGGGGGATCTCCTCAGCCCCTCCCCCGGGGTGGTCACCAGATTGCCACCTCTCCTCTCGAAGCCCTGGGGCCAAGGGGGCCCGACCTGCTGGGCAGGCAAGTAAGGAGCAGACCGGGTCTAACTCAAACTGCTGTCAGCCCCGCCCAGCTCCATCCTCCCCTGGACGGACCAGTCCAGCCCTCACTCCTCTGTCTAGAAGGTAATGTCTAGTGGAAGGGACGTCACCTGGATATCACCGGTTCTTTCATGCACAGTGTTAAGCTTGTAACCAACCATTACCAAACATGGAAGAGGCAAGAAAACAGGACCCACAATTAGGAGGAAAAAGTAGACAATAAAAGTGGACCCGAAGATGGATGCTAGAGCTAGCAGACAAGGACTTTAAAAGAACTGTGATGAGTGTATTGCAGAAAACTGAGGAAAAGATGAATAAATAAGCAGATGAAAAACGGAAAATTTCACCAGAGAATTGAAGTCTTAAAATATGATTTAAATTATAAAAAGACATCAATGGACGTTTAACAACTACAATAGTCAATCAAGGGCTTTAACAGCAGAACACAGGATTGGTGAACTGGAGGGCAGGTCAATGGAAAATACCCAAACTGAAGCACAGAGAATGAAAACAGAGAAACATGGAACATGCTCAAAAGTTCTAACGTACTTAGAGTTCCCGAAAGAGAGGAGAGAGAATGAGGCAGAAGCAAAGTGCAAAGAGATAATGACCTAGAATTTGCCAGAACCGATGAAAGACATCAACCCATGAATTCAAGAGGCCCTGCAAACCCCAGGCAGAAAAATAAGGAAATGATTAACTCCAGGAAAATATTAGGTTGTATAACAAAGGGAATACAATCAAATGACATTTCATGGCTCGAGTCTGAATGGCATTGACCTAATCTAATAACACAGCCATCCATTTTGATTTAATAAAAAATTGTGATAAATTCCATAAAAGTGGGGGAAGAGAAGTTCATGGGTCTGTGTGGGGCAGAGGCAAAGGGAGAATTTACCTTCATCTTCCAAACCAGGGAGCTGATAGAGAACACCTAGAACTGAAAAATCAAGCCATGGTAGGTAAGTATGTTGTTTAGAAGTGGATTGGTAAATAGCTGGGGGGATCTCTAAAAAGAGCTGAAGGCAGTGACCCCTGGGGAGCAGCGAGAGGAGAGGGTTATGCATTATATAACCCCAGACGGGCTTGACGTTTAAGGTTGATAATGAATGTTCATCGACAGAGGAATGGATAAAGATGATGTGCTACATACACACAGTGGAATACTACTCACCCATAAAAAGGAAGGAAATAATGCCATCTGCAGCAACATGGATGGACTAGAGATGATCATACTAAGTGAAGTAAGTCAGACAGAGAAAGACAAATACCATATGATATCACTTATATGTGGAATCTAAAATATGACACGAATGAACTTATCTATGAAACAGAAACAGACCCACAGACGTAGAGAACAGACTTGTGGTTGCCAAGAGGGAGAAAGGGTGGGGGAGGGGTGGAATGGGAGGTTGGGATTAGCGGATGCAAACCAGTATATAGAGAATGGATAAACAACAAGCTCTTACTGTGTAACACAGGGAGCTATAGTCAATATCCTGTACTGAACTATATTCAATATTCAATTATGATAAACCATAATGGAAAAGAACATGAAAAATAATGTATATGTATATGTATAACTGAATCACTTTGCTGTACAGCAGAAATTAACACAACGTTGTAAATCAACTATACTCCAAGAAAATAAATTTTAAAAATTAAGGTTAATGAATATTAAGTATTATCAAATGCCTTCTGTGGTGTCTATTGATAATCAGATTATCATATTTCTAATTTAATCTATTGATATGATTAAATTATTAACACAATTTAGATTGTATAATTTTAACTCATCCTTGCCTACAATGGATAAAATTAATGCACTCAATGTATTGTTAATTTACGATAGTGACTGAACTTAATTTGCTGAGAATTTATTCGGACTTCTATATTTGTGTTCATAATTGACGTTGTATCATAAGGGTTTTCTTGTAAAGCTATCTTTGCTAAGTCTTAGTATCAAGGTTAAATTAGAGGTATAAAATTAATATTTCATTAATTATCAGTTGATAGCCTATATATGCACGTGTATATATATACGGCATTGAAAATATCTGTTCCTTGAAATTATAGAATAAATTCGCCCACAAGGTTGTGTTGATCTGGTGCCACTTGTGCGAATAACTCCTTGGCAAAAGCCTTTCAGTTTAGTCCGTGGTTATTCATCTATTAAAGTTTTCAAGTTTCCTAGTGAGACAATTTTGGAAAAGCACATTTTCCTAGAAAATTGTCCCTTTCTTCGAGGTGTACAAACATTGTAATAGTGTTGTGCATGAGTTCACTTATTGTTTTTACGCTACTGTGTTTTTTTTAAGAATTGTTTTGACGTTTAATTCTGTTTTGCAATCAACTACAATTATTTAGGCTAATTCCAGGTGTAATTGATTTCAGAACTCACTACAGATCGTTACAATTTCAGGACGTCCCCCGTGCCCTTCGTCTCCTTGGGCAGAGGAAGGCACCTCCTCTGCCCGTTCCATCGCACAGTCCCACTCCTCCAGTTCGCTTTCATTCCTCTGAGATCTTGCTTCTGCTTTCTTTCGGTCCGGCAACACTTTTCGTTCTACCTGATGTTCGGGCAGCTGCTCTCTTTTTACAAAGCGTATCTTATCCCACTGAGACTTCTCATTTGTCCTCTTGTTTCCTCAGTACGTTTATTCTTGATTCTTAATGAAAGTACAAAGCAGACACTTTCAAATATACACTCTTCTCTATTAGAAAATATTTTGTAAAATGTGTTTTCCGTTTTCATCTTGGTTGCTATGTTCTCTATCTCTCAGGATGGAGGACTGTTTTTACAGGGCCCAAGTGGGTGTATGCACATGGGTGCGTGTGCATATATGTGTGCACACACGTGTGGGTTACACATGGGCATGCATGTGTGCACAAGTGTGAACACGCGTGTGTATGTGAACATGAATGCACGTGTGCACATGTGTATGTGTGGGTGTGGGTATGCATGTCCGTTTGCCCATGTATTTGTGTATGTTTGCATATGTGAGTGTGAGTGTGTGTGTGTGTACAGCCTGAGTGTGTTTCTTGTCTGTCACCCTGGAGAGGCCGGAGGCCCCGTGCCCTGGTGAAGGTAGACATCCATGTGTGGAAGCTGGGGTGCGTGGTGCCCCCGGCCGCCCTGCCATCTGCTGGCCCTTCACCCCACGTGGAGGCCACCGGCCATCGTCCCCCTTGAGAACCGGATCCAGGTGACCCCTGGCAGCGGGCCTGAGCGCCATGGCCCCAGGGTCGGCTGCACCCATCACAGACCAGGGGCGGAGGGGAAGAGCCCCCAAGCCGGCCTCCAGTGGGCTGTGCCCTGGGAACTCCAGTCCCAGAGAGGACGCAGGCAGGTGGGTGCCTGGGCTGGGACCTCGGAGCCCAGCTGCTGCCTGTGTCCGGAGGGAGTGCGTGTCCCACAGTTGCTCTGTGCCCTCCCGGGTGTGTGAGAGCGCACTGCTATCGATAAGCCATTTACAGCCGTGGAAAGGGGAGAGGTCGGCTGCCGGCCCCGTGGCATTTTGGCGGAAGAGATTCATCGGCAGCGACCTTCGCGTTTGTCAGCCGCCCACGTGTTCCAGAAGCCTGGCCTGCCTGACGTGGTCACAGCCGTGGGGGTCCTCCCCGACTGGGAGGAACTGGGGGCTGCGGTTGGTTCCTCCCGTGACCCAGGTGCCTGGGAACCAGGGACCCTCCTGGACGCCCACCCTCATGCTGGCAGCCAAGCCCCCCGTCTCTAACAGGCACCCCACCCCACTCTCACCCCGCCACCTCCCTCTCGATAACACCTGGTGCCGGGCCCTCTGCTCTGCCCCGCCAGCCAGGGTCCACCCACTGCCCCTCCCGCCCCCACCTGGGGCCCTCTCCTCCTGGCCCCGGGGGTCTCAGGCCTCACCGCCTCAGCCTGGCTCACAGCAGGGGCCTGTTGGTGGAGCTGTGGTGAGGGGGTCCTGTGTCCTGTCACCATCCTGCTAGTGTGGGCTGACCTGCTCCCTCCTAGATGACCTGGGAGTCCCCTGCCCCTTCCAGAGCCTAAGGCCGCTGAGGGGTCAGGAGAAGCCCCTGAGCTCCGAAAGGAGTTGGAACCACCTGCTTCCTGGAAGCCTCTGGGTGGATCCACCCAGAGGGTGTGGGAATCCCGTGGACACCCAGGATGCTGGAGGGCCGGGCAGGCCTGTCCAGGATGGCTGTGTGGCCAGGGGCCACGTCCATGTCCAGGGCGTGCTAGTTCACTAATGTGCGGGCCCTGGTCGCCCCAATCCACCTGCCTCTTGCTCAGAGGCAGCCTGGGACGGAGGCCCCTGACGACCAGCCCGGTAATCCCTGCAAAGCCACCAGATGCCCCCATCACCGGGCACAGCGAGCTGTCCAGATGGCCTCGGCTATTTTTAGGTCTGGAGTGGCCGCCGGGGCCTGGGGACGTCCCTCCTTCCTTAGCAGGTGGAGACGCACCTGCTCAGGGCTCCCTTGGCCTCCGGGGTCCCAAGGGTGGGTCCGGGAGCCACAGATCCACAGCCGCAGAGCTGGGGACAAGCGGAAGCCAGGCAGGGAAGGGGCCCAGCCAAGGAGCCTGGACGCACAGCAGGGCCCCTTGCTGAATCCCCACATCAGCCCGAGGCCAAGCAGGAGAGGCTCCACCGGGCCGGCCCCAGGGGCGCTGAGTGATGGGGGTGCTGGGGGCCCTGGGCTTCTGCCCGCCAGGAGGACCCGGGAAGCTGAGTCCCACGTCACTGTGTCCATGCGGGAACGGCCTCCGGGGGCCACTCCGCGCGCCCACCGCGTCCTGGGCCTGGGCAGGTGAGGCCGGAGGAAGGAGCAAGGGTGGGCCCAGCTCCAGGCCTCCCCCCGCCGCTGCCGAGGGTCCTGCCCCACGGAGCAAGGCCGGCCGCGTGGCTCTGAGCCTGGCAGGGCCACCTGGTCCCGGGTCTCTGAGCGATTTCTCGGGCTCCTCAGAGGCACGGAAGGAGAGTGTGCGTCACGTCACGGGTCTGGGAAACGTCCTCCTGGAGGCCCGCAGCGGGCAGGTGTGGCGCCAGAGACAGGCCCAGCCTCGGGTGTTGGAACGGCACCCGGCCACGGCCGCAGACCCCTCGACCTGCTACCCGATGAAACAGAGCCAGGAGGGCCCCACCCACCCAGACTCCACCAGTCGCAGCCACAGGCCACGGCCGGTCCAGGCAGGCCTCCGGGAGCCCCAGCCCAAGACCCCCGCCTGTTGGCTGTGGGATCCCCCCACCCTGGGGCCTGGGCTGGGTCAGAGCCTGAGCCCAGCACTGCCTGACCCCAGTGCCTGTCCCCTGACCCCCCCCACCAGCCCTCCCCCAGGGGCCCGGGGCCTGGTGCCAGAGAGCGGAGTCAGAAGCCAGAGCGGCCAAGCTGGCGAGTGCAGAGCCCTGGCCTCACAGCATGCCCGCGTGCAGGCTAGGCGGGCCCCAGCCCGGGGGCCGCAAGGAGAGAGGAGCACAGGGTGAGACGGAGGGCAGGGGCCCCCTCGGCCTCAACCAGCAGTTACTCCTCCAGCTAAAATCCAAGCAGGATGAGCTGCCGGGGAGAGCGGCCCCAGGGTCTCCTGAGCACAGAGCCTCACCCCGCAGACAGTCCCCATCCGTGCGACCCTGAGAAGCGAGAGCCCTGCCCCGGCACCTGCAGGGAGCTGGGTCCTGCCAGTGGGTCAGAGGCCTCCCCGGGCTGGGGAGGGGCAGTGGCGGAGCCTTGGGGTGGGCTGCGGCTGCAGTCGCAGGCAGTTGCCCAGATCAGGATGAGGGCCCCGCCCTGAGCAAGCAGGGCCGGAGAACAGGAGAAGCTCCCCAGGAAACGCCTGCCCTGGGAGCGCTCGCGAGGGCTGGGCCGGGCTGGAAGGAGTCCAGACCAGACCAGAGCCAAGACGAGCCCCCAGGGCCCCAGGCAGCGATGGGAGGTGGTGCCCCTCCAGAGCTCCGAGCCCTGCCCGCCAAGCTACATTTTATCTACAATTCTTGTAGCTACATTAACCAATGAGAGTGCACACCCTTCCCGCTGTCTGGCAGCTGTGGAGCCCAGAGCGACTTTCCTGTCTCAAGTGTACATGGAACACTCAGGAAAAGTAACTGCACGTTACAACACGGAATATACCAACCAGTTTCCATGAGATGATACCACATAAACCATGTTTCCTGGCCATAACACAATCAGTTAGAATGGAAAACAATATTTAAAAAATAATCTTAATGATT